TAATACAATTCTTTTATGTTTGCCGTTTTGCCCCCCAAATATATCTATAAAAACATTTTGTTCCTCTTCTCCGGGAACGGAGTCCGGCTGCCTGTCATAGCGATGACCTAGATAATTCTCCCCGCTGTCCTAGATTTCTTGTCAGTAAACAAATGTTATTCGGAGGGGGGCGAATAAGCGCCAGCGTTGCGTAATGAAGGAACAGAGGCGCTCGCCAAAATGACGGTTTGTCTAAAGTGTGTCCCCCTGGGGTGACCCTGTGACCAAGGGGAGGACTCCGACCCCAATGTAGAGCGAGTCCATCTGTAACAATGTAACAAATGATCTCCTCCATCTCCTTCCCTCACATACCATGTGACTCCGCCCACTCTTCCAGCAGGAGAGGGGAAGCTCATTTTGTGGCAGCCGGGGATTATCTTGCTGGTTTCTGACTTGCCCCATTACATTTTTTGAGGGACCTTGTCTTGCAATGGCTGGCAGAGTCACCCCATGTAGTATGTGATGTACAGAGTTGTATCAGGCGGCCACGCAGCTACAATTAGCACTCCTCAGAACTGTCCTCGGCGTTCGGCAGTGCGGCTCATCCCTGCAGTCCTGGTTAAGTCTGTGTTGTGAACGCGGCGGAGGCGGCGGCGCATTATAAAACGTTTGTAAAGGTTATTACACATCGCTGAGCCGTATTTATTGATTTTCGGCTTGTTAGTTATTCACAAGGCTGCAGAGACAACATGAAATCAGAGGCCTCCATTCCGAGGCGAGCGTGTTTTTTACGGGAGTCAAATCAGCCCACGCCGCCATCAATTGTGTGTAAATGAGGTGACGCGGGATAGGTTCGCGACGGGTGAAAGGGGCGGGGACTGCTATAGTGACCGGGAGCGATATGGTGCACGATGTTCCAACATCTCTCCGGGACTCTCATGCTGAAATTGGGTCCGGACCCCCAGGCCTGGACTTTAGAAGGGGCCACGCTCTTCCCGTGCGATGTACATGTGACCGGAACAATTGTTCTCATTTACAGAACATCCGCGCGTCCACTTTTTTCATACGCTATTGCATCTCAGTGCCGCTGATCTCTTGCAGCCTCTTTGCAGCCACTTCCTATCTACAGGCACTTCGGCAATGGCGGCATGGCAATTTTCAGGGCCGGTTTCCTGATGGTGACAACAGTGGACCACGCCTGTGTAATGTGTGTTGGAATGGGTGCTTGTAGTCTCCATTGATGTAAAAGGGTTGCAATGCACAAGCACAATCCAGAGCTCTATGTCACCCTATAACAGGAAGTACCTGACCAAAAACAGAGTGTTGTCACCCTATAACAGGAAGTGTCTGAACAGGGACAGACCATTGTCACCCTATAACAGCAAACTACTAAACCACTTTTGCTGCGTTTGGTGAAATCATTGGGGACACGCGGCAAATGCGAGAAACATTCCCGCTACACGAGGGTGTGAACTGGGTCTTAAAACTAACACCAATCACCCGGAGACACCGGGAACTAGGAGTAGACACCGGGAACTAGGAGTAGACACCGGGAACTAGGAGTAGACTCCGGGAACTAGGAGTAGACACCGGGATCTAGGAGGAGACTCCGGGATCTAGGAGGAGACTCCGGGAACTAGGTGGAGATACCGGGATCTAGGAGTAGACACCGGGAACTAGGAGGAGACACCGGGATCTAGGAGGAGACACCGGGAACTAGGAGGAGACACCGGGAACTAGGAGGAGACACCGGGATCTAGGAGGAGACACTGGGATCTAGGAGGAGACACCGGGAACTAGGAGGAGACACCGGGAACTAGGAGGAGACACCGGGAACTAGGAGGAGACACCGGGATCTAGGAGGAGACACTGGGATCTAGGAGGAGACACTGGGATCTAGGAGGAGACACCGGGAACTAGGTGGAGACACCGGGAACTAGGAGAAGACGTATCAGAGATCTTCACAAGTTCACTAATTTTCACTGAAACAAAATGACTGGATACATTGTATTCCACACTGATGATGACACAGGAAACACACGGCCGACCCTCCGAACACCTTCTTGTCATCAACTGAATTATAACTGTTACATTGTAAAGCACGGCGAGAACTTTATCCATCCTCTAAATTATAATAATATACATTGTATACTAGGGAAGCACCGATACCAAGAACCGTAATCGGTACAAGTAGAAGTACCGATACCTTTCCAGCTCCACGACTAGACTAGAGGAAAACTCAGAAGTTAGGAGGCGGCTGCCATGGCGAGCACGCGGAGCTCCCGGGATTTGTACATCTCTGTTACAATGTATGATTTTGTCTTTGTAAATATAAATATTCGGGATGCACCGATACCATGTTTGCGAGTACGAGTACCGGTACTTGCCCAAGTCCTCACAGATACGAGTACTGATACATTTGTGTTTATGGTCATGTGACAGTTTTTATAAAACAATACAGACTAATGATTTCAGGACAGTGGGGGAGCGCCAGAGCCGGGTCCTCAGCTGCAACCGCTGGAGCTCTCATGAAAATGCCGAGTATCTGCACTGGTACGCGAAAGGTATCTCTGCATCCCTATTGTATACACACACACATTGTACACACACACATTGTATATACACACACATTGTATACACACACACATTGTACACACACACATTGTATATACACACGCATTGTACACACACACATTGTATATACACACACATTGTACACACACACATTGTATATACACACACATTGTATACACACACACATTGTACACACACACATTGTATACACACACATTGTACACACACACACATTGTACACACACACACATTGTACACACACACATTGTACACACACACATTGTACACACACACATTGTATATACACACACACATTGTACACACACACATTGTATATACACACACATTGTATATATACACACACACACATTGTATACACACACACATTGTATATATACACACACATTGTATATACACACACACACACACACTGTATATACACACACACACA